TTATATAATGAAAAATAATTTTGAAAAAATGGCATTTTTCAAAAATTTTGAAAATGTGACATTTTTTAAAATTGAGACTTGGAAAGTGGTATTTTTTAAATTTTTCTGATAAGAAAACAAAAGTACACCTATACATATATACCCCCGCGTGGATCCGTGATTTGGAAGTAGCGGTACGTTATGGGTCGGCCGTCGGCATATGAACCTAAACAAGGGTAATTTAGGTTTTGAGGATTCATGTAAATATTAGTTTCACTTCTAAATTACAAATATGTAATAATCTTAGATAAAACTGGCGAGTTTTAGTTTTGAAACTTGTTCCTTATGAGGGTTTTTTTTTTTTTTTAACAACTCTTGATTTCATTCATCTAAAATTCAAAGATACATAGAGAAGAGGGAATAGCATCCTCTTTGATTGTTACCGTAAGCCAAACTACGATAGAAAAAACACATAAATTTCCATAGAAGATTCCTAGCGAGTTCGAGCCAAAACTCGAATGCGTCGGTAGAAAATTCACGACAATGCAGAAATATTGCAACTTATTCACTTTGAGGTGTGACGTTGAAAACCAATCCTCATTTCTGGATCTCGTCGAAATAGAGCCGGTTGCAGGAAAACGATAAGTATGTTGGGAATTATCCTCCGTATTACACCCGAGCAAAGACCATCTTTCAAAGAAACAGAACGTGATGAGATAGTTCTCTCCCTGAGAAGGGAGGAAAGTGTAAGCGATCTTTTCCCAAAAGAGAATAAAGGTGATAAAGGTGTCTCCATGCCCTATATGGAGAAAATTTGACTAGAGGCCATCGGCCTCAATGAACTGTGGATGATCTCTCCCTGGCCAAGGAGGAAGTTGGTATTGCGGCCATAGAAAACGGCAAACTCGGCGAGATAAAGATGCGATATAATAGCAGTCATGGCCTAATATAGTTTGCGATATGGACGAGAGACATACACGAACATGTTTGGGACAAAATTTGCACCATGGGTCGGGCCCATCAAGGGTAAAACTTTGATATGAAGGCGCTTGGTGATTGGTCGGAGAAGAGACACTTTTGCCGACACATCAACCTTGAGGTTGCAAAACAGATTTCGACGGAGACGGACAAGGAATATGACCTTAGCAAATTTGACGATGGCGGATGCGGCGGAGGAGAGAATTGAGACAATGGCTAGGAAAGAGGATTTGATGGCAGAGCTTGAGAGGGCGGAGCTGGAGTTGGATCCGGTGGCTCTGGAGGCTTAAGGAGGTTTGGTGCGCCAGAGAGATCAACCACCGCCAGTGGGAGGGAATCTTGGGCATGTCAACATGCATATTTTAGATAATATCAAAACATGTACTATATGCTAAAATATGCATGTTGCAAACATTTTCATTACTACATTTTGTACTTATTTCTTTATTTTCATAAAATTATTTAATATTGTTTGAGTTGATATTAAAAAGTAGTTTTCTTATTTTTTGTTTAAAAATCAATAAAATACAAAAAAAAAATAGTTGACTTTTAATTGAATTTAAAAATTACATTTTTAATATCAAAACGTAATGATATGTAATTGCATCTTTTGTCAAGTTATGTAATTGTTATATGTAATAGCATCTTTTGTCAAGTTATGTAATTGTAACTTCACATACGTATGATCTTGAATGCTTTGGTTATTTTATAGAATTTTATAAATATATTTCATAAAATTTAATAGAAAATTATATTTTGTAAAAAAAGATAAATACAAAACATTTCTTGTCACGAAATTAAATTCTAATAAATATTTTTCTTAAATTTTATTACATATATGATTCTCATTAATTTTTAAATAATTTTTTTTACATATACGATTTTCAAGTAACCTTTTTTATTTGAATATAATTTAATTTATTTTAAATGATTATAATTTTAATTTATTGGTAATATGTTTTTCCGAAAATGTAGAAGAATCCGAAAAAAACATTTGCAATTTTTTGTTGTTAATCAATAAAAAAATGTACAAGTAATAAGTAATTATTGATTTGCCATATCATAAGTTTTTTTGTGAGAGTGATGTCATGTCATTTTCCATGTCATTTTTTTTAAGTGAATATGGAGATGAGGCATAAGCAAATCTCACAAATTATTTTTTCAAATAATATATAAGTGATTGTAAGACTAGGTTGAGTATCATTAAAAAAAATATTTGGTCATAAAAATTGCATAAAATAAAACCTTGTAATTAAGGGTGTTTTGAAAAAAAATAAGTGTGGCCATCTAAGAATCACTCAAAGTACACCTAAGAATTTGTATTTATTAACAAAGAAAAGTGAGCCATCAATGTGATTCGGCCCTACCAGTTATGAACTTAATGACCTTAGTTGAGATTTGAGAGCATAATGAATGGTAGTTTGTTAATTTAGGAGAGTTAAGTAATTATTTTATTATAAATTATTTTTGGAGTTCTAAATCTCTAAAATTTGTGGTTTTAAATCTCTAAAATTAAAACTTTTTATTGGGACGCTAAGTATTTTATGTATTATATAATTATTTTTAATCTTTTAGAAATCCATTAAAAACTACTAAACACTACTATTGATTATGCTCTCATGAGAATGGGTTTTGTAGCTTAATAACAATTTAATTTATTTCAATACAAAAAAAAAACCTTAATTACTGATTTCGATTTGGCTCTGATCATTAGAGTATCAAATATTTCTAGCAAAAGAGAGGCCATTTGTATATGAAATATGACCATCATCATTGGGAAAATTGCAAAAATGTTATTTTTTATGTGCACATTTGCAAAAATGCTACTTAGGGGTGTTCATTTGCAAAAAGAAAAATTTCAAAAAATACTATTTTTCAAGTGCCACTTTACAAAAATGTCATACTTTTGAAATCTTTACAAAAATGCCACTTTTTCAAAATTATATTTTTTTATATTATTTATGTTTGGGTTAATTATGTTCTATTAGGATTTAGTTTTGAGTGTTTAGGGGATTTTAGGTGTCAAAACATTTTTTAGGGTTTAGAATTTTAAGATATAGGTTTTATAAGTCTATAATTAGT